GATGCAGCAGTCCAGTGTGATCCAATCACACTGTGCTGTGCTGGTGGAGCTCCAGAGTTATATGAAGAGGATGATCCTGAGGTGCGGAGTGAATCTGACCACCTGGGTGATGATGCCTCTACAGAGTCACTCACGTGCTGAATGCCACCTACAAAGGAGGAGTTTACTAAAGCATTTGTCATGACCAAAACGTCTTCCTTTTGAATAAAGAAAACTCCAGTATGCAGTTAAGAAAGATGTAGCACAGGTAGGCATGATGGGGCATCCTGCAGTACCAGCTACTTGGAAGGCTGACATGAAAGGATCACTTGAATCAAGAGTTTGAGACTAGCTTGAGCAACAGACCCACATCTTGGAAAACAACAAACAGACCTCATTCTCTAAGAGAAAATAAGGTAAAATGGTTTTTAAAGTGCTACTAAATAACACAGGTTTAATAGTGATTCATGATTTGGCAAAGGATTTCAAAAGCTTAAAATAACAACAACAATAGAAAAAGGCAGCCTGCCTCCAGGTGAGGTGATTCCCTCCTTCAGGAAGTTCCCAGAGGGTCTCTGGACCAGCTTGACTAGGGAAATAAGACATCAAATATGGTGACACATGATGTTAGTGCCCAGGCTGCTGTGATAAATTAGCACCAACTCCATAGCTTAAAACAACAGGAAATTATTCTTTCATATCTGGAGATCTAAAGTCCAAAATCAATTTTAATTGGTTCCAAACCAATAAAATTGGTACCAAGGTAACAACAGGGTCACCCAGAGTCTTGGGTGACCCTTGAAAAGATCTTGACTTTGCCTATTCTGTTTTCTGGTGGCCTTTGGCATTTGTGGGTCTTAGGACACATTCATCTTTGTCTCCTCCCTGAGGCCTTCTCCTTTGTTTGCCTGTCTGATCATCTTCTTTGACAGTCTCCTGTGATGGTCTTTAGGATTCACCACATTAATGTGGGACGAGCTCCCCATCCAGGGCCATGTAATCTTGTCTACAAAGAACCTTTTGTCAATTAGATAACATTTACAGATTCCAGGGCTTCAGATAGGAACCTGTCTTTGGAAGTCTCCATACTGTTAACACCATGGGTGATGGTCCAGAGGCAGTGCTGCAGTGATGGTGTGAGAAGAGGGTAGAGTGGTTTCCACTGAGGTGCTCCCTGCTTTGAGTCCAGTTATTGAATTTTGTCTCTTCACTTTTGAGACTCGGAGGAGAGGCAAGAGGAAGAGACCGAGGGACTGGAAGATGGTCAGGAAATGCAGGATCAGGAAGTCTGTTATTTAAGATGGTTCAATTTAAGATTGTTTGACTACAGTGGTACAAAAGTGATCCACGTTAAATAAAGAGTATACTTTGCTATTTTGAATTTGGGTCATTTCCTGAGCTAGCCATATGTAGTGTGATCCTCTTTCTCATCAGGTGATGGTGAGGGGGACAGCCCATGTCCTATGCACACTGTACTGCTGAGCTAGGAGGATCGGTAGGCTACGGGCATTCCATGCACCTTCTACATAAGGTATTCAGTGTACGTTTGGGTGTCTCAGGACACAGCTCCACAGACAAGCCTGTGATAATCAGTGTTGTCAATGTGACAGACTCTAGAATTACCTGGGAGACAGGTGTCTGGCCATGCAACTGCACACATTTCCCTCTGCCTTCCCTTCAAAAGGACACTTGTGAAGATGTGTAGGACTGCTCCAGTAATTGAGGTTAATCTTACCACAAAGCTTTCTCTTAACAATGTCTGTGGAATCTCTTTTTCCAAATAAAGTCCCATTGATACAATCCAGGGATTAGTACTTCCTATCTTTGGGTGGCCGTTATTCAACCCAGGACAAACAGTTAATGAGCCAAATAAATTATCCGAACAGTAACTATGTGCCCTGTTAAAAAAGCAGATCATATTTCTGCTGGCTTTTAGACTATTATTTATTCATGGTACTTTGAAGAGTTCATTGCCAAAGGATAATTTTTAAAACATTGCAACACAGAGGCTACAGGGATGGTTCAGCAGTTAAGAGCACTGGCTGCTCTCGCAAATGACCTGGGTTTAGTTCCCAGCACACACAAGTAACAACTGTAACTCTAGTTTCAGGGGATCTGACGCCCTCTTCTGACCTCCAATGGGCATTGCACGACATGGTACACTTACATACATACAGGCATTATACTCACACACACATCACACACATAGAGACACACAGATGCACCTGCGTGCACATGAACGTGCGTGTGTACACACACACACACACACACACACACACACACACACACACAAAGACTTTTAAAAAACATTTCAACACAAAGTTAAACAGAGGCAGAACTCATTGAATTTTTCAGTATCTTTTCCATACCCCCAAAGGATAGAAACAAATAAATATATGTATACTCACATATATACATACATATATTTCTGTGCATGTGTGTATGAAGGTGCACATGTATGTGCCGGTGCTCATATACATGTGTGCATGTCTATGTGGAGGCCACAAGACAGTCTTGGCTCTCATTCCTTAGGCACCGTCCATCTTGATTTTTGAGACAGGGTCATTCCATTGTCTGGCTCTAGAGAGCCCCAGGGATCCACCTGTCTCTGCCTCTCCATCAGTACAATTCATATACATGCACTACAATGCTTGACTTTTTTTTATTACATGGGTTCTGGGGCTCAAACTCAGTTCCTCAGTGTTTGCAAGACAAACACTTTACAGATTTAGCTGTCTTCAAGCCCATAAATACACATATTTATGTGGAAGTGCCAGGACTATGTCCATTTTATAGTGCTGTTAGGTTAGCATCTGCAGCCAGCTGGGGCAGTGTTACTTCCGTTTCCGGGGACCAGGAGCCCTGGCCTGGTGGGGGACAGGTCCAGTGCTGTGAGGTGAGAGCTGGCGGAGCCTCCCCGACTTGTCTTTTTCCCTTGGATTGCCCTCAGCCCTTCGTGGTTGTTCGTATCTCTGGGTTAAAGGCCAGAAATCCCTTATTAAGATGCAACTGGCTCTCAGGAAGCCAAAATTGATTCAGGTGTTCATAGCCATGTTTCTTTGGTGGTCCTATGGCAGGGAACCTCTTGGCCACTGCTGTTTATAATGTACTGTGAGATGCAGAGGGAGAAGGCCCCTCGTCAGCAATGAGTGTATGAACATCTGACATGGATGTACATGGAAGTAGGAAGTTTGGGGGACTCGGTCTAGCTGTCCCTTGGGTTGGTTCTGCAGAGCTGTGGGACTGTGAATGGGCGGGGGGAGTGGCATGAGGACTTGGGAAGTCAGACATGTCACTGGGAGCCAGGAGACCACAGCAGACAGCAGTGAACCCCAAAGAGCTTCAACCAGAAACCAGGCTCCAGCCTCTGCACCCAGGCAGAATGTAGACTGAATTCAGGGGAGGCCTGGGTGAAGATCACAGACTTGTTAGGAGGACATTAATGCCAAAGTCCAGGCTAGCAGCTAATGGCCAGTTTGGCTCATTTAAATTTGCCTTTGGTTTGTACTTTTTCTCATTTTCTTTTTATTAAAAGTACTTTTATAGCTTAATTGAGGTTTAATTGACAGCTACACTGAGCATGTATTTACTGTGTGCACTGTGATGTTGGATATGTGTTACATTGTGAAATGGCTTTTACCATCAAGCTCATTAACACAGCCATCACCTGCTCATCATTTTTCTGTGTGTGGGGTGAGCACATTTAAGTCATGGTACGTTACCATTAACCACAGTCCCCATGCTGTACGTGAGATCTTGGGCTTTAACATCACCTATGTCCAGAAAATACCATTTGAGTATCTCACTGCAAGCATAGCTATTTACTTATTGACCTACCTTTTATTTATGAATGTAGCTATAACTCTGTTCAGTTGTATTGAGTTCACTGTGAAAGAGTTATGACTTACAGTGGTCCACAAAGGAAATGTATAGGCATGGGATGTCCGCTGTGTTACTACTGCATCTAGGAGCTCCAAGCTCCAGACAGGAGCATCCTTTAGAGGCAGTAGTTCTGGGCATGTTGGGAGGCAGGTGTTAGATGGCCCTAGAGGAAGGGAAGGTGAGAGGAGGGACAGCTGGCAGAAAAAAACTGGCATCGGGTCCACAACTGGCCATACTGAGAGGGGACTGAGGTCCTATGAAAGGATGGGGGAAGCAGAGGCCTGGGGGATGAAGAGGTGACTCCCCTAAAGGGAAAGTGAGAGTTGGGGGTGGTACAGATTTGAATAGAAAAGGCAATCTTCCCTTTGTCTTTCCTGCAGCTCTTCTGTCCCTCACACTCAATTGTTTAGGTCAAAGTCATTGTGTGAAAATGGCCAGGAAGAAATTCCTGTGGGTGGTTGGTGTGTGAGGTTGGGTACTGACGGGATGAGAGTTCACCTATATGGTGATTGATTCAAGGGCAAAAGCTACCACTGTAGCCTGACCTAGGGGCCTGGACAGGGAAGAGAGAAGGCAGATGTGAGGCCAAGGGAGCTGCATCTGTGGGCAGTGCTTATCTAGAACCCCTAATTGTGCCCTAGAGCTAAGATGGAGATTTGGGTATAGCTTTTTCAAAGTGGGGGCTTGAAGCCACCAAATGTGGGGTGGAGGGTGGTAATTCCCATGAGAGTGGGCAGAGCCCTTAGTTCCTGTAGAAATGAGTATCTCACCCCTACCCCTTCTCTGTAGAGAGCCAAGTTTGAAGGTGGCCCCTTCCAAGCTACCATTTAAGTTTGCTTAAGTAAACCTTACTCTCTTCTTTAATAAGGAAATTTTTTCCCAATGGTCTATTTTTTTTCAGGTAATCTATTTAATTGACTAATTAATTTCTTTCTTTATTCATGGTGCTGGGGATGGCACAGGCCCTTGTACATGCTAGGCAGGAGCTGTGCCACTGAGCAGCTCCCTACCCCCATGCCTATTTAGACCTAGTGTTTCTTCTACCACAGAGAGCCGTAGGTTTTTCTAGAGTTCTTGAGAGTGGCTGTGCATAACCTTTGCCTGTGTGTCTAACTGCTGTGCTCTTTGTTTCACCTTAGGTAGCCATCAAGGTCATTGACAAGAAGAGAGCCAAAAAGGACACCTATGTCACCAAAAACCTGCGACGTGAGGGGCAGATCCAGCAGATGATCCGTCACCCCAACATCACACAGCTCCTTGACATCCTAGAGACGGAGAACAGCTACTACCTGGTCATGGAGCTGTGCCCTGGGGGCAACCTCATGCACAAGATCTATGAGAAGAAGCGTTTGGACGAGTCTGAAGCCCGCAGATATATCCGGCAGCTCATCTCTGCGGTAGAGCACCTGCACCGGGCTGGGGTGGTCCACAGGTGAGGGCCAGGCCAAGCCAATGATCCTCGAGTCTGTGCTCCAAACGAGACTGAACAGTTACAGTGCCTTTTAATATTTCCACATATTTGTTCCATGGACTTGTTTTTTGGGTTGTGTTAATACTCTTGGGTGGGTTCAGAGTAGAGTCTAAAGTTAGAGTGCCTGAGCCTGCAGTCTGGCTCTGCCCTTTAATGGTTGTTTTCCCTTGGGTGAACTGCTTTACCGTTCTGAACTTCAGTCTTTTCATCTGTAAATTGAGAGAGTGATGTGTGTATGATTGTAGGGCAAGAATTTGAACAGTGTTAGTTAAGTAGTAAGCACCAGGTAAGGGTTAGCTGCTGTTCTTATTTCCAAAGGCAGCGGTTTTAGTCTTGTCTCCTATTGCTATGATAAAACATCCTGGCAAGAGCAACTTAAGGGAGAGTTTATTTTAGATCACGGTTCTAGGTTATAGTCCATCATGGTGGGGAGGTAAGGCAGCAGGAACTGGAAGCAGCTGGTCACATCACAGTCGCAGTCAAGAACAGAGAGAATGCACACATGTTAGTGCTCAGCTCACCTTTTCCATTCTTATATAATGCAGATCCCTTGCCTAGGGAATGTGATTCCCACAGTGGGCTGGGTCTCATCAAGACAACCCCTCACAGATATGCCCAGCAGCCAGTCTGATCTAGACAATCCCTAATTGACACTCTTTTCCTGGATGAGTCTAGGTTGTGTCAAGATGACAATTAAAACCAACCATATCAAAGTATATTGTATAACTGTATTGAAATTTTCAAAGGATAAATAAAAAATAATGTTTCAAAATAAAAAATAGAAAACATACCCAAATAAAACAAAACAACCATCATGGCAAGGGACCAGTTAGTTGCCCAGGTGCCTGACAGAGCAGTTGGTGGGAAAGGACACAGATTGCTTTTAGCGCAGTGCTTTTGCTAAATGTGCGGTCAGATGACAACTATTGCTTAAATCCATCGAATGGAGTCACTGTTCAAATTGTGAACTTGACGTTGACATCGAGGAGTCTTCCCTGGAAGCCTAACAAGTCTTACAAACCATTACAAAAACCAAGCTTGTTTCTACCAGCTTGAGCTCTTGGGTGTGGGGAAGGCAGAAGGAAAGTGAATGGAAATTGTATTCTTAGCAGTGTTGGTGGGGATAGGAGTCCGCTTGTAGTGTGAAAATAAGCTTAAAAAATTAAAATGCCCTTTTTCTATCATGAAAATGTTGTAGGCTGGAGAGATGGCTCAGGTGTTAAGAGCATTTTTCATTCTTGTGTTTTGGGTCTCTCTATAGCCCCAGCTGACCTGGAAGTCGCTATGTAGACCAGGCTGGCCTCAGGAGAGCTGCCTGTCTCTGCCTTCCAAGTACTAGGGTTAAAGGTATGCACTACTGCTGCTCTTTTTAAAAAAATATTTTTATTTTATGTGTATGACTGTTTTGCCTATATGTAAGTGCACCTGTGTCCTGCAATGCCTGTGGAGGCCAGAAGAGGGCGTCAGATCCCCTGAAGTGGAATTAAAGACAGTTGCTATCTAGCAACCATATGGGTGCTGGAAACCAAACCAGGGTCCTCTACAAGAGCAGCCAGTGCTCTTAACCACTGAGCCATCTCTCTAGTCCCCCAAACTATGTAATTTAATCACTTGAAGTTGTCCACCCATCACCATATCGAACTTTAGAGTGGTTATTATCGCCCTAAAGAAACCTTGTTCCTACTGACAGTCCGTCCCCAGTCTTTCCTCTTGCCACCACATCTACCACCTGTCTATGGATTTACCTATTCTAGATATTTCACATACATGGAATCATAAAACAAATGATATTTTGTTTTTGATGTCTTGCTCAACAGAATGGCTTTTAGATTCCTTCATGTTATGTTTTGGTATTTCCTTTTCATAGTTGAGTAATATTTCAATGCATGGATATACCACAGTTTATAATTTCTCCATCAGTTGCTAGACATTTAGGTTGCTCCCCCTTTTTGGCTTTTGAGAATGATGCTATAATACGTGGTTCATAGATGAGTTTTTATGTGACCGCATGTTTTTGCATCTGCTACTCCTGGGGAATTCCACTCTTAGAAGTTGAGTTGCTGGATCATGTGATACCTCTGTGGAAACATGTATTTTTTGATTGGCAAAGAAAATAGCCTCAAGGACATTACTTAATAAACCCTACCACTTCCCAGGTGGACAGGACTGTGTCCTTCCTATGGGATGGGCTGCCCTGTCATGTCTGAACCCAGGGCCAGCTACAGGGAGGTCTTGTTGCTTAGGACTTTTCTGGAACCAACTCTGACTAGGCACCACCTACCCATCACTTCCTCTCTGGGGAGGTGAGAACTCACATCACGTACATAGCCTTAGTCATGTGTGATCAAGCAGATGTGCTTTGTTAGAACTCTTGGGTTTAGGTCAGCATTGAGGGAGCATTCAGAAACTGGCAGTGCGGGACACTGTTATTGTCTCCTCACAACGCCTGTTGTAGCCTGTGGTGTCATCATTAGGAAAATGATGGTGAAAGGGTGCCTGGCTCTGTCTTTGTTTACTAAGCTGAGGGAGGTTGAAACCTGACGACTGAATCAGTTTGCATCACAGACTCTGCGGGTCACAGCAAAAAATAGAACTGGGGGAGTGCAAGTGGCAGAGGCTTCTGTGGAACTCCGGGTGTTTTTCCCAGGGTTTCATGCAGTTGAAAATCTGATGAGTGCTTGCTTCTCAGGATCAGAAGACAACAAAGGCAAATCAAGAGAATCCTGTGAGGTGTACACAGGTCTCTCCTGCAGGAAGTTCTCAACAACCCTCTTAAAGTAATTTGAACAAAATCCAATCCTTAGCACAATTACTGTCAGAATGTCAAAGCAGTGAATTTAATAATGTTTTGATAGCAGAGACAGGACACGTTTTCACTCTCTCATCTCCGGCTCTCTCCCTCTTCCTCTCTGTCCTTGGAAATTGGTTCATAATCCAATAATGGTGAGGGCTTGGATCTTTTAAAGTTAGAAGTTAGAAGAGACGGAAACAGAATTAGGAGGATTTCTTTGCTTTTCTCTCTGGAAGTCACGATGTGTGTGTTGTGTGGTGGGGGCAGGTATATATGCTTCTGGAGGTCAGAGGTTGACATTGGGTATCTCGCTCAGTTGCCCTCCACCTTACTTTTTGAGATAGTCTCTTATTCACCCCAGAGCTCATGGATTTGGTTACACTGGCTGGCCAACAGACTCCCAGCATCCTCCAGTCTCCACCTCCCCAGTGCTGGGACTACAGTTATGCATCTCTGTGTCTGGCTTTTTATGTGGGTGCTGAGGACCCACATGCTTGTATAGCAGGCACTTCAGTGACTGAGTCATCTCCCCAGCCCCATGGAAATTATGTTAATGTGTGACACTGTGCATGGACATAGGGGATCAGGTTGTTGAGACATCCCATTAAAATATTGATTATCATATATTCATGATACCTTTAATGAAATGTCTTGAGTTTCAAGAATTTCATGTGATTGGCTTTTAGCATTTTTTACTTGAGAGCCATCAGCATATTGTTGATGGTCTCCTTTTACTTGAGTGCTGGAGCGTTTTCTTTGTTCTTGCTGTAGACAAAGAATGAATTTCATAAATTATTCTGAGGTTAGATTTTTCAAATGAATATGAGAAGAATACATTTCAGAGAAGCCTTAAGAGTCCCAGGTGGGAAGATTTCTGAGTGAACAGATTGAACCCTCTAAAAGGACCTGAAGAGATGTTGCTGGTACATGGTTTCAGGGCTTTAAAGGGTCTTGGTTCTTGTGTTGGAAGGTGCTCCAAGCACTCAGAAGAGTTGGGGGATCTGAACTCAGGCCCTTACACTTGCACAGCAAGCGCTTTACCCACTATGCCATCTCCCAGCCCTGCAATTTGCTTTTATTTTCCCCTCTGACGTGCTTTCCCAGCAGGATGTCAAAATCAGACGATTTGCCTGTTGTATATAGAGCCTGACATCTTGAACCCACAAAAACACTGTGTGGAGAAGCTAATTTCAGACTCATCTGTTCATTCAAAAACAACAAAGTCCAATCAAAATCTATAGACACAACATTCCTGGGTAATATAATACCACCGTCCCCAAGCAGGAAGAGACAAGCTACGGACCTGCACAGCCAGAAGAAAGGGCTCCGTGATCAAAGGGAGTTGGAGCCTGTGCTTGGACGTGTGTCAGCACTGCCCTGCCCAGGGCCGTGACCCTCCTCATTCATCAATATTGGAAAGGGCCCTCCTCTGAGGTGGAAGGCAGTGGGGGAGAAGGGCCCTTTGTTCTTTAGGACTTGACAAGAAGCAGGCACACCCTGTGCTGGGCAGGCAGCCGACGGTGGTTTAAGAAGTCTTTAAACTATTTAGACTCAGTGATTCTCAGCAAAAGAAGGGAAGGGGAAGGCAGGTAGGAGGGGAATCCTCTCTGTTCAACCTCAGGGAACTTTTGGGATCCCAGGGCCTTCTGAGGGGAGCAAGCACCGTCTTGCAAGTGCTGCTGCTAGCAAAGGCTGTGTGTTTGAATGGGTTTTGAAAAACAGGATTACAAATGGGAGACGTTGCTAGATAGTAGCCCAACCCTTTTGTGGACTGACATGTTCAGTGGTCGGCAACCTGGACTCAAATCGATCAGATCGCCTGCATCTATGTGCTGCGTCTACACTGCGCCTTTTGCTTGCCGGCTGTTGGCTACATCACTCAGACTTTCCTCTGCTTTGTCAGTCAGCACTGTAGAGATAGTGGATCACCCATTGCACATGGTGGTTGTGGGGATTCTCTAAGTCAATCCACTACATGCTCAGAGTGAGCTGCTGAGTTTGTAGTGACTGTTGCAGAGTCCCGCACCATCTGGTGAACTCTGTGTGCTCATGGTCCCTGCTCTCCTGTGCCTGTGCTGACTTAGCCAGCCTTGTCTGGTCCCGCTTCAAACTCATCTTCTCCAGGAAGCCCTCCAGGCCGGGCACCTTCCCGCCATTGCTTCCCAAACAC